CATTCTGGATTGCCTAAAACAATTTTTCTGTAAAGCACTACTGTGCAAAACAGTCGGTCTGTGATGGCCCAGTGTCCAAAACAAGATGTGCTTACACCAGAGTGGAAATCTACTGCGCTGCTAGGACCTCCCAGTAGGTCAGGTGACATTGTCACTAGCTTGCAGGACTTTGCTAATGAAGGAAACATCTTGCTAATTTGCATTCTGCAGAAAAATCCTTGTTTCATCAGACTGGCATCAAACTTTGTATAAACTAATGGCAGCTACAGACACACTTTGGAAACCACTCCTAAATGTAAGACGGAATCAGAGCAGTTGGTTAAATCAGAATATGAAATATGTGTTAGGGGCCAGCCAGGTAGCTCATCAGATTAAAGCACCTGCTTAGGCAGACACAGGGACCATCGTTTGATCCCCAGCCTGCCATGTCAGCCCCACCCCCGGGGCACACTGAGACTGTGATTAAAACTGGGAGTGGTGGCACGTACCTGTAATCCCAGCCCTTGGGAGGCTGTAAACAGGAGAATCACTGCGAGTCCAATCTGTGTAATGAGACCCTATACAGCCTGTACTAAACACATAAAAAATAAATTAATTAAAAAGAGAAATATGTGTTAGTTATCAGTGATAAATTTTCTGAATCTGATGATGGCTATTTGAGAAAGGTGGTGTTTGTAGGAGGTGTGCACTGAAATAGTTCCAGGTGAACGACCACGACATCTATTATTTGCTAAAGGTTTTGCAAAAGTTACAGCAGAATGTGTGTGTGTGTGTGTGTGTGTGTGTGTGTGTGTGTGTATGCACACAAGCATAGGCACATAAAGAGAAGGCATATAAATGTGGCAAGATAATAATAGTTGGTAAATCTTGCCAGTTGTGTTAGCTCATGAATGTAGTGTTGTTTCTTAGGAAACTGAGAATCACAAATTCCATCTCAGTCTGGGCAATTTAGTGACTCAGTAACTACCTGTCTGAAAATAAAAAATAGAAGGGCTGGGGATGTAGCTCAGTGGGAAGGCCCAGGTTTAATCTCCAGTACCACGGTGTATCAATCGACAAAGTCGAAAGGGTCAGGGTGGAATTCAGTGAGAAACCACAGCAGTTACTCCCCAGTACTGCAAAAGAAAAGAAAATAGTCAAGTCTGGTGAGGAGAATGTTATTCTTGTGCTGCTTTTGCACTTTTTTTTTGTAGGTTTAATACCAGTTTAAAGTTTAATTTGTAAAAACCAAATTGGGGTCTAGGGGTGTGGCTCAGTGATAAAGTACTTGCCTAGCATGTGTGGAGGCCTGGAGTCCTCTCCCTGTAATAAAAAAAAAAAAAAAAAACAGAAGTGAAAGTTCTAGAAAGAGGCAGATACAAGCCGTGTCAGGGGGGATCATAGCCCCTGAGTGCTTTGCTTAGTGAACTTGGGATCAGTTGATGGTCTTGCATATACACTGTTTGAAGCCATCCGTGAACCTGCCTATCACTTACGGGTCCTGGGTCCTAACTGCTGAGGATGGTCGTAAGCTCTTACCTTGTGGTTTGCCTATTTATCTGAACTCAACTCTGACTCTAGTCTTAGCTACCTTTCTTGGGGGGAAGTAAATACTCCACGCCGTCTAATTTGTGCTTTCTACTGAAAATCAGGTTTCCGAGCAGGAAATGGATGAAGTGATCGCGCGCAGCACTTACCAGGAGAGCAAAGAGGCCAGTTCCTCTCCTGGCTTAGGTACTGTAATGGCACATTTTCATTCAACATTCAGTAGAGTTTCTCATTAAGTTCACCCACGGGGCACTCCTGGTGGAATCGAATTGGATTCGCTGTAATTATCAGGGTTGGTGAAAGTAGCTGTCAGACAGAGTCTCTCCTTTCTCTAGGTTGCCACTTCTGATTTCCACAGTTATTTAATGTACTTCATTAAAGATCTAATCGTGCATGCTTCTTACACCACTTTCAAATAATTTGCAAGAGTGAGCTAAGAGCTCACATTTCATGTATTTATGCATGATTCCTCTAAAATGCTGTAGATAAAAAGTGTAAATGATACCAAAATACGAGCAATTTGGTAGATACAGGGTATTCTCCACCCAAAAGCCGGAGATTTCTTTATATGAATTTTAAAATGTTAATGCAGAGAGGGTAAGGGAGGTAGCTAAAGTCGTGATTTTCCCCTTAAGTAGAAAATTTTAGGCAGGCAAGGATTGAGATTGAAGGAATTTCAGCTGAATTTAGAACACTGTATTGAGTTTTAAATCTTATGCTTCCTGTGCCATGGAAACCGAAAGGCTTCTGCAGACATTTCTGAGCTTGAGACTTTGCTGACGTTCTGACTGATGTCCCAGAGGACAAGGAACTGCAACCTGAGTTACTGGCTTTCAGAGGAAAGGGAAGGCATAGGATTTTTTGGCAACCATGGAAAACACTGATTATTTGCATCCATAATTAATATATTTAAAGTGGACTAAGCCATAATAGGCTCTTTATTCAACTATTCAGTATCCCGATCTGCCTAAGAGCTATGCTCTCCTAATCCCTACATTTCCACTTGATCAGCTAGAAAAGATTTTATTAAGCCATGATCCTCATGCCCTAAATCTCTTTTGCTCATAGCATATAAATTAAAGTTTAAATACGGCACTTCTCAACCTTCCTTTAAAAATTGAAATAGACATCCAAGGCTCTCCCCAGCTCTTTCATGGTCTCCTGGATGGTATCCATCTGCCCGTCCTTCAACCCATTCAGTTAACCAACTGAACACTGGTCAGCGGGTACAGTGGCCTCGGGTCCGATCAGTCCATCTCTCTGCTCTGTAAGCTCTTAAACAGTCGACGAGAGATGAGACATAGGCACTCATCATTAAATTATGCTACAGAAGTGGAAATTGGAGTGTGGGTATAACAAATAGTTTGGAAATTCAGAAGAAGAAATTACTTCATCAGGAAGGGAGGCAGGAACAGCAGAGGCCGGGCTTGGAGCCTGAGCAGCCCTGGGAGGTGGGATGGGATGGGATTGGGAGCCAGGCTGACAGCAAGGGCACCTCTAGCTGTGTGTCCAATGCCCTTTGAGCAAAGGAAAGTTTGGTTTAATATGCTTGACTCTTCCCTTTCTGGCTAAGTATGAGACCCTGTTTGTGATTTTAGCTTGTCATTTTGACAATATGGTGACTCTTCCCCCTACAGGTACCCCGCTGAAGAGTCCCTCTCTTGCCAAAAAGGTAAGTCAAGACTCTGCTCCTCCCTAACTCAGCTCAACCGTGCGATCTTGGGTCCCAGAAGCCAAGCACAAGTGCCCACCCGGCACATATTTATGCCCATGAGTCCTTTATGCCACTTTATACAGGAAATAGCAACCATGCTAACTTGAGAACAAATACCCAAATGTGTTTCTCTTATTAAATATTCAGGAAAAGAGTAGCACAACAGAAAAGAACTGAACTGTGGTTTGAAAAGCAACTTTTAAAATTATTCCATAATAAATCAGGCCTAAGTTTTTGGGATCTTTAAAGAAACTCAGTTAACACCCTTTAGGGGCCGGGGAGTTGGCTCAGTAGGATAAGCACTTGACTGGCAAACGCAAGGATCTGAGTTCAATCCCCAGTTCTGCAAAAAAAAAAAAAAAACAACTCAGGATTCCTCAATCCTGCTAGACCAGGGCATAGGATTCACACCCTCGTTCTTTTTGTCATCAGTTGGCTAGGCCACTTGGCTTGGAATTTTATTCTATTTTCCAATCCCTTCCCCCAGTGTTGTTTCTGGGATGGTTGATAAAGTGCTGCTGCAGCTTCTCTGATCACTGCCAAAAGCACACCACCACCAACACCCCCAAAACCCCTCTAAAAACGGGGTCTGGCAGCAACAGTCACCTTTGTATTCATTAATTGCCCATCTAGCGATGTAAATAGAGATGGGTGTTTCCTATCTAAGCTACTTTGAATGGCCATGGATTAGAACAAAGTGTTCTTGGAAAGATGAGACACAATTACTGTTTACAGCTCAGCTTCTGCACCTCTTCCAAGAAAGCAGAGGCATCTAGTACTCTCTCCCCAACAGGAATCCCTTATGTCTGACCCTGAATTCTCCCAGTACTTCGCCCACGATGCCCAGGGCTCCCTGCCAGACTTCATGGCACCTGCCTCTGAGGATGAGGATCACCCGGGAAGCGGCTGTGGCACATCCGAGGACGGCAGCCCAACCCCCAGCGCCTCCAGTAAGCAAGGAGCCCCAAGGGCCCTGGGCGATGTGTGCTAGGGATCTCCACAGGAGCTCCGCAGTGAACGTGGGTTCTGCTACACAGAAAGGGAGCTGAGACCACGACTCAGGCTGGGCAGCAGTTCCCTGACAGGAGAGAGTTTACTCTTGGTAGATGAGCCACTGTGAGTGACTGCCCCCCAGAGTTAGGCAGCGCACAGGCTGGGCGCCCAGGGACTTCCCAGGGGGTAGCAAACCTGCATTCTTTCCAGCTAGGGACGCTGTGCAGCCTGGGATTTCACGGCATCACATCACGGTGGGCAGCAGTGAAGCACTTGTGTGTTAGAGAAACTAAGCCAAATTCCAGGCCCGTCCCTCGCCTAGGCCCTAACTTAATTCTTTTTAGAAGACAGTGAGAGACCAAAATTTATGAGCAGTATTATCATAAGCGTTTGGGTTTTTTTGATTTTTTTTTTTTTAACTCTACCTGATTATCTCCTCACGATGAGGTGATAATCTGATGTGAACTATACAGATTTCTCAGACTTCTGCTGGCAAGGTTTCTAATGTCTAAATAAGAAGAGTATACCTCAATGGTGGAGCGCTTGCCTAGACTTCTTAAGGTTTTGGGTTTGGTTCATCAGTTCCACATTTAAAAAGAAAAAAGAAGGGCCAGCCAAATAGCTCAGCGGATTAAAGAATCTACTTAGATGCAGAGGTCAGGAATTTGATCCCCAGCCTGCGGGCTGGCCCCAACTCCAGGGTGCACTAAGACGGTGCACACCTGTAATCCCAGCACTTGGGAGGCCGTAAACAGGAGGATCACTATGAGTCCGATCTCTGCAGTGAGATCCTGTATGCCCTGTACACCCTATCCTAGATACAAAAAAGAAAAGAAAAAAATGGTGAAGGAAGAGGAGGCGAAGGGAGGTGGAGGGGAGAGGGAAAGGAGAGAAGGAAAATGGAGGGGAGGGCAAGACAGGAGAGACAAGAGGAGAGGAGAGGGGAGGGGAGGGAAGGGAAGGGGAGGGGAGGGGAGGAGAGGAGAGGGGAAAATCTGCTCTTAGGAGGGAGTAACAGTTGTGCCTCAGCTGGAGCGGCCGCTGAGCCTGCTGTCCTCTAACAGACGCAGGCCAAGGTGAGAGCGTGTGTGACTTTTCACGGCAGCCAACAGGATATAAGGAGATGGCAGAGCAGCCATTGCGTTCTCCTCTCCTTGGTGGGAGTGATAGCTTCAGCTTTGAGAAGCAGGAAGCTTGTACTTCAGGATCAGGCCGCTCAAGCCCCCGCTGCAGATGCAGGAGGGACCGCGGGTGCTCAGAAGGGCCAGGGCTACAGGACGTCACGGGCCCACCATCTAGAGAGGAGCTCTCAGCAGCAGCATTCAGGTTGGACCCAGCGATGTGTGAGACACAATGCAGGCCAGGAGCGTGCCATGTAGATTACTGGGAGCAGCCAGGAGGAAAAAGGGCGCGAGAGGCCTGCTGCCCTCCCCCCCTCACAGATCGCAAGGCACCCTAGTATTTAAGCATGGCATCCAGTGACCAGAAGCTCTGTGCTTGACATTTGGAAATGTAGAAATACGTGGCGTGTGATGATGGGGCTAAATTGTAAGAGCAGGCCAGATGCACTACTCGGTTTCATTGACTTGTCTTCCTATCCCTACTCCCAGCTCACAGGGATCCGGGAAAACCCCGGGCCAACAGCCTCGTGGCTCTTGGAAGCCAGCGGACCTCTGGCCTCTTCCACAAGCAGGTGACAGTTACCAGACAAGCCAGTCTCCCCGGAAGCCCGCAGGCCCTCAGGAACCCTCTCCTCCGCCAGAGGAAGGTAGGCTGCTATGATGCCAACGATGCCAGTGACGAGGAAGAGTTTGATGGACGGGACAGCATTTCACTCCCAGGAGCCCTCCCAGGTCCCAGCGGGGCCCTGACGGAGGATGGCACCAGGCGTGTCTCCATGACCTCTCCCAAAGCTGTGGACATCAACATCCAAGAGGAGCCGCCCCAGAAAACACTGGTTAGCAAGGCCTCCTCAGTGCCGCTCCTGGGCAGCTCACTGGACTTAGAGGAGAATGTACCAGAGGGTGTGGCACCTGCTCCTTCCCAGGCAGCCGGCCGAGCCCCCAAGCGAGGCCCTGGAGGCTCAGGAAGAAAGGAACTGTCAGGATCTCGGAGTTCACCCAAATTGGAATACAAGGTTCCTGCAGACACCCAAGGTGTGATGAGCACAGAGAACCCCATTTCTCCCAGAAAGAACAGTGAAGACCTGGGGTCCAGGCACAAACCAGTGACCAAGGTCAGCCCCCAATGCAAGAGACCTACAGCTGAGGCAGCAGCCCTGACCGGCAAGGCCAGTGGGCCATGTGATCAGGACGCGAAGGTCCAAACTACTCCCGTCAGCGGGATCATCACTGGCCTGCAGCCAGGGAGAACCGTGGAGAAGGTAAGCGACTTCCTCTCAGTTACTCTGAATCTCAGTGAAAACTGTGTGAGTGAATACGGGGTCTGCCGGGAAGCACAGACCAGGCTCCCAGGAAGGAAGGGCGTCATAAATCATCTTCCATCATTCTTGTAATGGGAACCTGTTACATATGGGCAGGTTGTGAGTCCTAAGATCATTCAGCTGAAGATGTAATCATCCTCTTACCTGTGCCTGTGGTTGGCAAGGGGAAAGCAGTGTGGCGTGGGTGGAGGAAAGCCCTGTGCCTGGTGCCACCTCTGCTGGCTACCTGGCCCTAGCTGAGTGGCCACTGAGCCACTGACGCAAGTTATTGAGATTTTTCTGAGCCTCGGTTCCCTGGACCGTAACATGGGAAGGGTGCTGTCCGTCTCAGCCAGCTCACAGGCTGGGTGATACTCACATGTCTACAGTGATGTTTGCCTGCTGGTAAGGTTATGAATGATCACTAATTTTTCCAAAACTGTACTGCCTCTGTGTCTAAGCGTAGCTCCTCAGACCCTTGTCGTAGCTCACGAAACAAGGGGTACATTCTCAGAGAAACTTACAATGCACTTGTTTATGAGTACGTTAGAACTACCTACTTGTCTTTTCTGAAAATTCCAGTACACCTCCTCATTTGCAAGGAGAGAGGAAGAGGAACTAAGGTTTACAGTGTGCTTGACATAAATGATCCCTGCCTGAGCAAAGATTCTGAGATGGCTTGTAGATTTGATGATACATGCTCAAGTGGTTGATGCAAACATACATGTAAATATATTGACCCAGAGAGTGAAACATTATTTAAAAACTATAAGAAATCTTTTTTTTAATATTTTTTAAAATATACAGAAATACACATCTTTTTTTCCCTTCCTCAAAACTCACATTTTATCTCTAGCTAGCAGATGTTTTACAATGTACTGGTCGACCAATAGGTACATTCCTACTTATAAAAAGTATCATCAGCAACACATTTTTGATAACTATATAGGGCCCAATTGGGACTTCTGTTTTTAATAAACTACAATCTATTAAAAATAAAAGCTTTTGCAATTTTGATTTTGTATTCTCCCTGAAAACTTTCGTACAGCACTTAAAACTTTTAGACAAAAGAAGTGAATTTTCTCATAAAAATCTTATTGCCAAGCCCAGGGAGATAGCTTAGTGGAATAAGCGCTTGCCTGGCAAGCACAGTGTCCTGAGTTCATTCCCCGGTACTGAAAAAAAAAAAGTAATTTTAATTATATATGAAAAAGAAAATAGAATGCACTGCTACAAAGTATCCTCAACTATTAGAAGCTGAAAACAGGAAAAAAAAAATCTCTTCTGATAAATGCGTTGTTTCCTATCGCTTTTATTTAATACTTTTTATTGGAGTGAAGTGTATATAAAATTAATCACTTTACAGTGTACGGTTTAGTGGGACTTAGTTTGTGCCCAGGTTAGGGCAAGCACAACCTCTGTGCAGTTCCAGAACTCTTGAGCTTCTCCCCTATTACATTCATGCCTTACTAGTAAATAGAAAATAACCGAGTTAAATCCTAGAAAGGTTTCGTGCAGCCAGGAAGAAATATTTTCTAAAATGATTCTTTCTGAGTTGCTGAAAGACACATTACACCTTTCACCTCTCATCTCTGCTGCTACCTTGGGCCACTTTATGACTCACTCAGTGGATAAATTTCAAATAAATCTGATTTAATTTTTAGTAAGTTTTTTTTTTAATTTTGTGATGAGTATTAGATAAAAGAAGGAAGATAAAGTAATTGACATTAGGCCTCAGGGAGGTTTTGAGATATTAAATGTCAGCTTCATTTCTCTAGATTCATCTTCTGCCCTACTACCAAACTAAGAAATCGATTTTATAGCCTTGGATATTTCTATGCAGTATTACAATAGCAACGTCCATCTATCTAGCCTTTAATATCCTATTTTATAGCTATTCTCACTTAATCATATTTTATCTAAAACTCTCTGACACTGGGCAAACTTGATTGTGCCCATTTTAAAGCTGTGAACACTGAGGCTCAGGGAGGCATGACAAGACGGTATCATCTCCAGAGTCCTGATCTTCTGGCTCCGGGCCAGGGCTCTTACGGCTTTTCACAAGCCAGCTCTCTTCCGTAGATGATAGTGTCTTATGATGCAGAAAACCTAGAAGCTATTAACAGCGACTTCTGGTTATCGTCGTGCCAGGAACCTCTGGGAAAGCTGGCCCCTGGGGACGGACGTGTCCCCACTGACTGCGGGACACCCAGAGCTCTGTCCCACATGGACACTGGACGCCTCACAGAGAACCTGCCCGAAGCTGCAGCAGAGCAGGGACCACACCCCGAGACTGGTAAAATGACTTTATCATTTAAGTTTAAAGAAAGGAAGGCAGGTCCTCTAAATGAAGGTGTTAACCTGGGATAATTTTGAGGAGGGGAAAAAACCTCTGATACAAATTAATGATCTTTAAGTGCTGCCTCCAGTTACCCAGTCGACTACATCATGGCACCTCTATTCATAAATTTGATGTCACGTAGCGCGCATCCTCTTCTGTCGGTCCACACTGTGTGCCCCTTGTGACACACGGAGACTCGGGACAGAATGGGACAATCCGCCACTCTTCAGAGTCTCAGCCCTCTGCTCCCCCGAAGTCAGGGGCCCCACGACAAAGACCGCTAGGTGGACCAGTAAACAATGCGTACTGGAGAACCGGAGTCCGGGGTTGTTGGGGGTGGCACGAGGGGCGTCTGTCACGGAGGCCGAGACCCCGTCAGCGTCCATGTGGCTGGCTAGCGTCTCGTTTCTAAAGTCAGGCTGAATGACGTGACTTCGCTGCCTTGTTTGTGAAGACTGAAAATTAGTATCCTAAATCAGCACTTTGGCCACGAACGGCGTTGTCAGCAGCTGCATGCTGGGCAGCGGAGTGGACCGGCCGCCTGGCGAGCCCAGAGGCAGCGCGCACGCCACTGCTTACAGATGTCCTGCAAATTACAAATTAGGTGGCTGGATGCAGTGACACTGCAGTCGCAGCAGTGGGGGGGGGGGGCTAAAGCAGGAGGGCTGCAAGTTCAAAGCCATCTTGGGCTGTAA